ATACTGGCCAGCATCAGATGAACTTGCACCGCTTTCGATTACATATTGAATGCGTTTGCATGCAACCTATCAATTCCACTAATTGTATACACACAGTGAGAATACACGAAATAGCTGAATCCACATGAACCTGTCGAAATGTTGTTATTGTTAGTTTGAAAACATGAACTGGTTGAAGAGATTTCCAAATAAAATAAGTTTGTTTAAGAAAATTCACTGCATAACTGCCATCCGGCATAAGTAGATACAGAACGATACGATGGACGCATGAGCAACAGTCAAGGAGCCATAGCTACGCCGAAAAAAGCACACGGGACAACAGGCGAAAGGTGACCACTTTTAGAAGATCGGAGGGATCGATTCAGAGAAAAGCGTTGTGGTACGAGGCAATCGGGAAGCAAACATTGACCATTTGGATGAAATATACATAAATTCGAAGAGATGACCTAAAGATGCATCAGCAGTACGCCGGTGCGCAGTGCCGACGCTATGCTGCCGCGCAAGCACAACCAGCCGCGCATGGGCTAAGAATACTGCGAGGGTCGCACGGTCCCCTACACAGGCTCGAACCCGCGACCTCCGGAGTACCAGAGCACGCTTGCGATCCTTAAAGCAACGGGCCGGCTACCAAAAGATACGAGATCAGGAGGATGGAAATTCCACTCTGTTGTAAAATACATTCATCTACACCTGCATATTTATCTTAGTGGAATCGGTCAACATGGAAGCAATCAGACTGCAGTGGTATCCAAATTGTGGAGTGATATCCAGTGGACAACAAAATGCTACCAAGGTATGGTTGTTGAGTTCCGAACAAAGCCCTACAGGACATGGTGTAACAAAGGTAAGCGGATACGCGACATCATCCGGTCACAAAGAAATCGCGGTAGTAAATTAGTAGTGCAATTTGCATAGCCTTTAATCGAATTCTCAGTGGACAATCTAAGTAACCCATGATTTCATGCTTCTCGTGACCAGAGATCGCGAAGTTAGGCATAGGGGTTAAAGTTTAAATGGTAGCAGATAAACTAACTACTGCAGAGAAGAAAGCCTTCACAAATTAGTAAAATGACAAGTGAAGTTGGTATAGAAACAACTATTGGTAGCCCAGGTTGTTCGTTTGGTGGTCGGTGTTCACTGAGCTCGGAAGTTTTGACGCAAACGTTTCGTCACCAACCGAAATGACATCATCAGTGTGGTATTGTGTAACCAAGCGGAGCAATGCGAAGCATCGGGTAGACTTACAAGGTCGAGCTCAGTGAACACTCCGACCACCGACTGGGCACATGGGAGATCAGGAGAGATATCGAGAGAGAGAAGCTGGATGTTCAGATGTAGGTTAGTGAGGCAGACATTTTGAACAAGGAGACAGGGCATTTGACCCCACCGCATGAAAAGAATGGTGTAAAACCGCAACGTACCAAAACGGTGGATGGCGAGATAAAACACTCCACCACATCAGGGATTTCGGGATACGAGGGTTATCGAGCGTAGGGTACAGAACTGGGCTTCCACAATCTGATGATGACAATTCAACTTCAACAAATGGCTCCACCTGAGTTGAGGAATGACAGACACGGGGGTTGGTATACAATAGACGTTTTGACTAAATAGAAGCAAGAAATTTTATTTGAAACGGAAATATACCTCACGAAAAGTCAGTACAGCAAACAAGCTCGTTTTTGGTGATTCATCATGAGGTTAAGTACAACGCATCTAAATAGCTAATAAAAAACAGGTCACAGCACCTGAGTGGAGTCCGCTTCAGGCTGATCATACGCCGCATACTTGCATTGGTAGAGGCGATCACTATCCGTCATAGGCCCCTTGCACAAACAATTTGTAAGGACTCTAGCTCTCCCCTGGTCATTTGTTGTGCACTCAATGCTTGATGCGAAGACTACAATCGTGTGAACAAGTCGAAACATGGTCGTCACGTCGACTTCTACTCCATTCCTGATACTTGCTGTACCCTGTTCTATGTCAGCTATTTAAATGTGTTGCTTAGCCTGATGGTAAATCGAAGAAGACGAGCTTTGGTAGCCATATTGACTTTTCATAAGTGACACGGGAATTATTCACTATATGAAATATGTCTACTAAAATTCTTCGTTGACGATTTCGATAAAGTAGAACAACTAACGAATTGGTTGAGTAAAGGTTTCTCATCCCGAAACTCCGAAAAATAAGGCGATTTGTGTAAAAGATCGTTTTCTTCGGCTGCGACGGCTATCACACGGTTGGTTGAAGCTTTTATTGGTCGCACCATCAATAAGTAGGTAGCGAGGGACCAACACATATAGGTCAAACCGATCACGACGAAAGGGACCCTCCATCCACTCGTAGTTGCTAAGTAGGATCCAAGTGATCCACAGAGCAAGGTGCTGAAAGGAAGAGAAAAATATGTTGGCTTAGGAGCATCGATTTCAAAGAAATCAAAAAAGTGGTTGATGAAACTGAGCAAAATTCGCTAGGGTCAGGGACGGAAAAGTACGAATCAAAGTGGATCTGCAGACCAAAGCAACGACGGTGGTTGGGTGGATAACGCACATGAGTGGAACTCCAATGGGTTCCAACAGAATTTGAACCCGTCCAAGCGCCAATTGCCTGTTGCGCATCTAGATTTGTGTTTATATCATACCTGATCACAATGTGAAGCGGGAGTTAAGATACCTCGGGTCAGAGACAAGCATGGTGAACATTTTCGGAACCGAGTGCAGCTGAGGCATCATGGGGAACGAGAAAATGAACCTGAACAAAACACTCGACGCCTTAAGGAAAGGTTACAACGACAGAGGCGGCAAAGACGACGCGGAGCGGAAGAGCGTACGGAGTATTCTGCCACACCGATGCAGCTAATCCCGAAAAAGGGAAGGATGTGGTGGGATTGTGTAAACAGAATGAAGATACGGCTTACATGGCGAAGCATGCG